TTGCCTCTGGGAATACTTTTAAAATATCCAGTTCACCAAACAGCCTGTGAATGTTGTTAGAACAAAAGCGCCAAAGACACTTCTCCTTTCATTAAGACCTAGTATGTCTCCTTTCCCAGAAGAACAGAACAGTCTAACGCGACTGAGTTTTTCTTCTTGCCCTGGGCACAGAGCACCCCGAGGCCAGAATGGGAGCTCAGCAAGGTGGACGTGCAGGACGGCATGAACATCTGGGCTGCATCTTAAGTCCTGTTCCTGACTGACTTTTTTTTTTCCTATTCGTGTATGTATTGTCAAATAAGTCTATTCAAATCCTTTAAGGAATAATGTGTACTATAAATAACATAAATTCAATGAAAAATAATGCCCTAAAATATGGACAACATATAACTATCTCATTCAGATTGTGTTTTTCTAGATCACCGCAGCTTTGACCAGCTGCCACTTTGAAAGTGTGCCCCCGACGTGCACATCTCTGTGAGCGCCCCTCTCCACTGAATTCTGTGGAGCATGGGAAATGCCCTGCTCTGCCCTCCCCCGAGGAGCCAGAGCACATGCTGAGAGGGCTCGGTTTCGTGCAGGATGACATGCTGAGAGGACTTGGTTACGTGCAGGACGCCACACTGGTGTCAGGTACAAAGGGGGCATTTCTGCAAAACCACACCACATAATTTCACGTCTGATCTCCAAACAGCAAAAATAATCCAAATGTTGTTTCAAAGAGAATCTGAAAAAAAACGATTATGACAGTTCCGTGGGAGGCAGACAGGGTCCCCCTGCAGTCCTTCTATGACAGCATGACCGGAAGACCATGTTTGTGGCAAAGACTCTCCAAGATAGCGAAATGTGGCTGAGGGCAAGTTTTTCTCTTAAAGGCAGTCTGTGCTTTAAATAAATAGGAAAGAACCACTCACTAGAATGAAGGCCTCACTCCCTGGGTTTTTAATACGCTGACTCCTGGCATGCAGCCTGTCCTCCAGGGCAGGACTACATAGCCTAGCTCACCCTAACTGCCCCGGGACAGTGAGGAGTGGTCTCCAGAATGCATTCGGGTCAAGGGCAAACTCCGAGGGTCTGCCAGAGCAGGAAGGGCAAGGGGCGGCACTAACGCAGTCACTTCTTAGTTCTTACCCCCTCATTTGCCTTCACCTGCTCAGATGACCCCCGTGCTCATCCCTCCCTTTCTAGCATCCTGGTTACCCCATCCTCCATGTCCTACACGATGTCACTCTGCCCTGGGTTACTCCACCCTCCGTGTTCTATATTATGTCGCGTTGTTCTGGGTTACCCCGTTTCATCCTCCTCCCCTTCTGGGGTCCTGGGTTATCCTGCCCAGGGGTCATGACTCTCTTCACCCAGGCATGAAGACTGGCCTGGAATGCCCCCTGCCCATCCTGGGTGAGCTCCTCCCTCACACCCTCTAGGGTATTGGGTTACCCTTCTCATGCTTTTATGCCAAAAACATCAAGAGTTTGTACATTCAACGAACAGCCTGGATTTCTGTACCCACTAATCATACTGAAGCTTCTTAAAACACCAGCAGAGGAGAGAAGGCCTTGACAAGGATTTTTCTAAACTTGTACTGGAAAAATGCTCAGGACCTCTGATAAACAGAATAGCTTAGGCATAAGGAGCTTTCCTCTACAGGATACGTTTTCTACAGGATACAGAAAGTCCTTCAGTGAGCCAGGCACCATGGCGTGAGACGCTGAGGCAGGAGGATCACAACTGTCTTTCTCTCTCTCTCTCTCTCTCTTTTTTTTTTTTTTAAATATCCATTAGCTTGTATTTTTAAGTCGAGCTGCTTTTAGCTATATTGAACAAACATGTATAAAGATATTCATGGTTCTAAGAGAAATTATGAGCTGCATTACCCAAACAAAGCCGTCAGCTGTCAACTGGCCATACCCTAGATAGAAGTCACTCTCAGGATCCTGTCCTTGGGCTGTGGCTAAAGACAGATGAAGTCCACCCCAGCAGGTTTTGAACAAAAAGCAGCATCAACTGCAACCAGCAGTGAGGATCAAAGAAAACTAGGAAGTAAAACAACTATTTTCACTTCACTTATAATTTGTACAGTAGTTACCAACAATGCACAGGGCAGTGGGGCCCGTGGGGGCTGGGGAACTGCCAGGGATTGCTACTTAAAGACGAGGCTTGGTGAGAACGAGGGCTGTGAGCTGACTCACTACTCATATGGTCACCATCAAGACCTTCAGTTCTCTATAGGCTGCAGCAAGCGAGTGCTCTAGAAGGCTGCCTGTAGGCCTTTTCTGTACTAATTCCCACACTGGGGTTGGAGGATGCAGGCCCCTCGTGGCCAAATCCCAAACACAGAACTCACATTCAGGACTTTGAAGTATGCCTTCATGTAAAACCCCATTATCTGCCCGAGATATCTCACCTAAAACTTCCCCTTCAAGATCTGAGAGTTGGGAACCAGCAGATAGCATAATGGCTATGTTGCTGGACTCCCACATAGTCGACCACGGTTCCGTCCCGGACCCAGTGGCTTAAAACTCACACCGGGCGCATGTGCGTGCGTGCCCAAGATCCCAAGAGGAGAATGGAGGAGAAGGGATTGCGGCGTGGCCATCCCCCCTGGGGGGTGATTTCTTGCTTTCTGTCTCTCTGTCTCTCTCTGTCTGTCTGGCGAGCGCACGCACCCTATAGCGAAAATCTCTCCAAAAAAAAAAAAATCTGAGAGTATTTCCTTTGATAAACACAGACCTGGGTTTAGGGTAGTAGACCATAATGGTCATTTTTGAAGGAACATAGGAAAAATGTACCAAAATAGAAAAACGCACAGGGAAGGCAAGATTCTTTTAATAGAAATGCAACCCACAAAGGAGTGCTCAACTTGCCTTTTCCTTCTTAAAATTTTAAAACAGTTTCTCAAATTGTGGCTGATGAAATTTACCCTAACATCCATGGAAGAAGAGTACAAACTATTTCCCAGTTTGCAAAGTGGTCTGAAGTTAACACGTAAAGTTTGGAAGAAGGGCTGAACTGTTATTTCCCTTAACATTAAGACTGGTGGGACAACTGCAAGGGCATGGATTCTGCCAACAGCCTGCAAGCTCGTTAGACCTCTCCCCAGGTGAGTCTCTGTTGAGAGTAAAGCCTTGGTTGATATCTACTTTGTATCCTAGGAGGATCCTAAAGCAGAGAACCCAACCAAACGGTGCTCAGGCTACTGACTTGCAGGAACTGTGAAATAATAAATGTGTGCTGTTTAAAGAAAACAAAAACAAGACTGGTGAGAAGTCTGAAGTTTCTCACTTGTCTGTTTAGCCTCTGAATCATTTGAGAGATTCTCAAGTGGGAGATTATGAAATTTAGGACTGGTCACTGAGAGGAAAAACAGAGCTCACATAGAATCTTCAAGGTCAGCCTTTCTCTAGATTTTTCTTCCAGGAAAAAGAAAATCATGAATATTAAAGGTTCCCATCTGAGCTAAGTACGTGGTGTTACTCCTGCCAGCATTCACCTCCACCATCAGCATGGGTGGCATTACTGTCAGCGTCACTGTGTGCCAGGTGTCCTAGACGTCTCAGCACTGCAGTTCTGTTTTTTCCTGAAGCTATGCGTCACTTAAAATGACCTCAGATGCTTTCCCTAGACCTAGTGAATCAAAATTTTTAGGTATAAGTGCCCTAGGAGCACCTAGAATTGGGTACATTTGGGTAAGACTACTTGATTTCATTTGGCCTTCGCCACAACCCCACGAGGCAGATACTATTATATTTACTCTGACAAAGAGGCAAAGCAACTTGTTGCTAACCTAGACAATGAAAGAGGTGGAATTCAGGCCTTCGGTCCACTAGCAAAGCCATGTCATTATTGACTTAGCTACACTGCTGCCCACAACATCATATGGAAAGTTGATGGAAACTTTCCTTTTGCTAAATTATAGAGCCAACTAAAGTACTTAAAAGGGCAAGAAAAGAAGTCCATCAAGAATTAGGAACAATATTTAAACCTACTCCCTTTTGGCCCTGAACATAATCCAACCTCAGTCCTGAACTTTCTTTGCAACCCAGGGCCACGCTGAGCTCCTCCTCCAGTCCCACGGCGAGCAATAGGAAGCTGGGTAAATGACAGCCACCCTCGAGAGGACAATGAGTCTCTGATGGGCAAACCTCCACTCCTGCCCAGAAAATCTCAGAGGCTTCTCCCAAGTTTGAGTTAGCCAGTGAACTCTCCATATCACCATTGGTCATGTTAGGGTGGCCCCCAAATCCTAATTTACAAACAAATCTGGAAACAAACCTTTTCTAGAAAAATGGAAATCATATATGCTGTGCATATATACAGAATGTAACCTAGAAATGCAAATTAAACAATCTTGGTAACATCTAACTTTATAACTCATAAAGTCTTACATTTCTAATGCTTAATTCAGCCAAATAGAATATTTCAAAACAGCATTATCTATGTTTTTCTCCCAACTCAAATCTTCATTAAAATGTACTCTCCTCAGGCCTCTGCCCCACTGCAGTGAGACATGCATACTCCAGTCCAGTGGAGACGAGTCTTACAGCTTTTGTTCAGTATTTTTAGTAGGCCCAGGAGCCTGAGTTCTATCCTCCATCCTAGACAGGGCAGGGCACAGCCTTCCTTACTAAGTCACTTTCGATTTATCCAGCGTGGGGATGGACAGTCCTGGCCAGCTCACTGAGCCCAGGCCATAGGAAGATTAGCTTGGGTAGGGTCTGGAAAGACTTGGCAAACCAGGAGTACTAAGGTATTCCCATCTGCCGTCCGTCACTTGCACGGCAACCACTTAGTCTAATTTCAGATGACCCCGTTTTATATATGTCTAGCAAAGTTTCACTACTCATTTGGAAAGTTTAAAAAGCTCTAAACTTCAAATGCCTTGTGATAAAATAAAAATAGGACTACATGCATCACAAGTCATTCGTAAGACAATTAGGCCGAGACGGGGCTAAGACATCAAGCGAGCCGCCCCAGACTACACGCAGTGGAGCCATAATTACCTGTTTCTCCCCACAGCGTGTCTGCGCCATTGACTTCTACTTCATGTTCCTTTTCCATTCCCAGCAAGCACTGGACCACCTGTCAGAAGTGGCAAGGTGATTTAATGAGTTCTCACAGCAAAAGGTGCTTATTATATCCCATGTATCAAAGGAGAGACTGTGTTGTTTTTTAACCATTATTATCTCATGCTGCACAAGGAGAGAAAAATATAATGAAAACCGTTTTGAAGCATAATTCATATGCTATTCACACTTTCACTTGGAGAAGACTTAAAAAAAAATCTCAGTGCATTTCAGCAGCATTGTTCAGGATTACTAGGTACTCAGAATTCTAATGAATTCCGGCATGACCCAAATATGCCAGCGTAATCAACAAAGGACACGGCAGATCACACAAAGTGCAGTTTCTGCATAAACCACCAGAAGACGGTGAATCCATTTTTCACAAGAAAAAGAAGGTGCTATATATCTTTCTCAATAATTTTGTTTTTAATTTTAAATTTCTCTACTAGCAGCATTATTTTCCCTTATCAGAGTCTTACTGTCTAAGGGCAGGATGGTCACAGGTATGTGGCAGGGATGCTGGGTCCA